CTATCGGTCTAACTAAGACTACACCCCTCTATTTATGTTCTCTAGCACCTTGCAAAGATCCTAATTAAGCAACAAAGGTGCCGGGCTAACTAGAGCTCACCTAACCAATTCTAGAAGCAAGGTCACACAAACCTATGCCAATAGTATTTCAAGCAAAGAGGGAACTCCTACACATGCTAGTAAGCAAAAGCACAAAGCCAACTAAGCTCACTAGCAATGCTCAATAACAAGGCAACCAATGCCAAATTAGAGAGCGCAAATACTTAGCTATACAAACTAAGCAAAGTGACTAACAATGTTACACAAACCAAATTAGCCACGTAAGAGAGCTACTTCTATGCCACACAAGCAAGAAGGTAACTAGTGAGCTACACAAGCTAACTAATTACAAGAGCAACTACACAAGCACAATGTATATAAAAGTAATCACAAGCTTGTGTAAGGGGATTGCAAACCAACGGGAAGAATAAGGTTGACACGGTGATTTTCTCCTGAGGTTAACGTGATTGCCAACACGCTATGTCCCTGTTGTGTCTCCCGCTCACTTGGTGGTTCGGGCATGCACAATTGGCATCACCCGCCAAGCCAAACGTCGGGCACATCTAAGAACCTACTCCCGAAGTGAGGTAGCTCAATGACACGCTTAACTAGAGTTGCTCTTCATGGCTCTGTCTGGTGCGGTACAATGCCCCTCACAAAGGTCTTCTCCGGAGCACCGCACAAGCTTCTTCTGCGGAAGCTTTTACGGAGACCACCACCAAATCATCTAGGAGGTGGCAACCTCCAAGAGTAACAAGCACCATACGGCTTGCAACTCGATCACCTAGTGCCACTTGTTGCAACCTCACGATGCAATCGCAAACCAATCACTCACTCACACAATCGAATGATCACTATCAAGCATATGTGAGTTAGAGGGCTCCCAAGCACTCTCAAGCATGGACATAAAAGTCCCTATAGGTGCTCGGCCATGGCCGGCGAACCACCTTCTATTTATAGCCCCATATATAAATATAGCCGTATACCCCTTCATTGGGCAAAACTATCTGGGCGACCGGACGCTCGGTCGCATTGACCGGACGCACACCCCAGCCTTGATCGTCGCCCCCATGCATGCCACGTGGCACTTGCTTCAAAAATAAGTGAAATACCGATCTCAACGGTTAAGTTGTGATCGACAAAATGAATGACCGACGCTAAACGCTTAAGTCCGGTCATTTTCGAGAGCTCCCGAGCCTCAAACAACCGATCGGACGCATTCGATCCACCATGACCGGACGCGGACGCTGGCTCATCCGACACGTCGCGCCCATTCGCCTAACTCCCCGCCACCCACGTCACCATCTTCAGCCTTGACCGGGCCGGACGCACCGAGCGTTCGGTCACTCTTTTCGCGCCAAAAATCCGATCCAAGAAGATCGAGAAAAAAGTTGCGTGCGTAATCGAATATAGAGGACGCAGGACCCGGCATCCGGTCATTGCGTGACCAACGTCTGAGTGCAGCTCTGGAAACCATGTCTTTTTTCCGAGTGTGTGGTTGGCAGTTAAACCGCCGGATTGTCCGCACTCTTAGGTGGACACTCCGTGACCAAGTTTCTCCTTTCGCCTCCATTTCTTCACCGAGTTGATCCACATCAACTCCAACTTCTTCTCCTTTGCCAATGTGCCAACACCACCATGTGTACACCACCATGTGTATGTGTGTTAGCTTTTTCACAAATATTTTTCAAAGGATTAGCCACTCAACTTGCCACGCCACTTGATCCTAGCAACGATGCAAAGTTAGATCACTCGAGTGGCACTAGATGATCGATATGCAAACAAGTTTGCCCCTCTTGATAGTACGTCCATCTATCCTAAACCCGGTCATCAACTTCTCTACACACCTATGACCGGTGAAATGAAATGCCCTAGGTTATATCTTTGCCTTGCGCATTCCATTCTCCTCCAATGTCGATGCAACACATGCACCAACATGATCAACAATGATATGATCCACTTCATATAATCATGTGATCATATTGGTTCATCGATCTTGACTTCACTTGCTTTTCACCGTTTTCATTCGTCCATGTGAGTTCAAGTCTTGCTCAAGCTTCACCGCCACGCGGTCCATAAATCCAAATCCTCCGACTTGCCCTTCACGCTTGCAACCGGTCCATCAAACCAAGTCTTGTCTTGATCTTCTCCACCTTGATCACATGACTCAATGTCATGTCTCATGTGCAATAAGCTCCTTCATCATCACATGTGTGAGCTTTGCAACATCTCCGCGCCATTTTCACCTTCATGGCATATGTTGCTCACACACATGTACTTGTGGACTAATCACCTGTGTATCTCACATAAACACAATTAGTCTACCTAGGTTGTCACTCAATTACCAAAACCACACAAGGACCTTTCACTCAGGCACCCTAATCTCCTGCACACCAAATTTCTCCCACTGCCACCCCTACCTTCCTTGTCTCTCCAGCGCGCAACCTCCTAAACCTTCTCCTGCTGCCACCAAAAATCCATCTACCGCCACCAACAAAATTCCCTCCTGGTCCACCACTTATTTCCCAACTGCCTCACCGCTTCCTATCCTTTTGCTTGGCAGAAAATACTGAGAACCGAACCAAAATACTGAAACTGAATTTTTCGGTACCCTGTTCGGTTCCTAATTCCTGTAACCAAATTTATCGAGGTAAATTCAGTACTTTACCTCGGGGAACCAAATTTACCGAACTATGTGAAGTGTGTTGAGTGTTGTTATATTATTGATAGCACTATTGTAGTCTATTATATTATGTATTTGTGGTACTCTACTCTTATAGTCTTGTGGACTTTTATATGTATGTATTTGGCACTATTGTTCTCTATGAAATCATGTCAAAATTATGTCTTAAAATTAGCTTTTGAACCTGCTATTACATATTGATGCGATCAGTTTGGTATTTTTCGGTAAATACCGAAACCGAACCGAAAATACCGAAACCGAATTTCCTCGGTACTGATTTTTGGAAGGAACCGATCGATACCTATTTTCCGAGGAACCAAATTTCTATGGAAACCGAAGTACCGAACCGATTGGTTTGGTAATACCGAATGCCTAGGCCTACCTATCCCTTCACAACTATCGTGCCTCGTGCGTGTGCCCTCCATTTGGCGACATGCTTTCGACGGCTGCCTTCCATGATCTCATCCCTGGTGCACCCTCATCCCAAGCAGGGGCGGATCTAGTGGGCTAGGGGGGGGGGGCTCAAGCCCGCCCTCTGCCGTCGCCTGATCCCATATAGACCGCTAGATCCGTTCCAAGATTTTTTCATAGCTGCTTTGAGGAGGAGAGGCTAGAGATTGAATATGAATTTTTAGCCCCTCGAACTTTCATCCTATATCCATCACTGCTCCCGTGCGTCCAGCCCCAACTCGTTGCCTGTGCGCCGCTAGTCGCCGGTCGCTACAACTCGCGAGCCCCCATCCATGCTGCTGCTGATTGTGTGCCCATCTGCCATACCCGCCCCAAGCCACCATTTGACGAAAGTGACACCAAGGGAAAGGAAAATTTAAAATCTGGTATAGGAGTCCCAACAAACTTTTCGATGGTACTTGACCATCTTTTTCAGTGGCATATAGCGAATTGTCTCCTCTTCTTAAACTGCCTTCAAATACGAGTCTATCAATCTGTATCTTTGAAAAATTCATTGAACAATATTCTATCCAAATTCGTGATTGGGCCAAAATCCCACCCTATCTTAAGTCTCGCCCAAGGGCCCTTTCTTTCGTCTCCTTTTCCTCCAGGCCAAATCCCCCGGCAGCCGATTTCCTGCCCTCTTCTCCCTCGTAGCATCGGCCCAGATCAGCCCATAAACCTATCCTCCCTTTCCCTTACCTCGGCCTGCCAGGCCCAATAATGGATCAGTAGCATTCGTAGGCGACCTACAGTTATCTACAATTGAGTTTGTGTTGAATGTATGTGTACAAAGTTTAGTTAACAAAATTAGACTTGAGTTGTACTAGAATTAGGGTAGATTTTGAGCCGGATTCTACTCCGTCCGTCACACCTCTAGTGCTTACACCTTTTTCTCAAAATATAACAACTTTTAACAAGACGGGAGGTGAATTTAAGGCCCATGTTAGCCGAGGTGGACTCCTAAATTTGAGCCAATCATTTGGTGGGCCCTTTCCAGGGGCATCCTTCAGTTTCTCCTTTTTCCTTCCCTTCTTTATAATTTGTCCTAAAAGTCACAAAACTCCTTATGTTATGAAACAAACAAAGTGTAACTTTAGTGCCATCCATATAAACACACAAGAGATGAATTCTCATCATCATGAGATGGCTTGTGGTATGCAACGAAGGAGCCCCAAGTCGGACAGAGGGTGGTGGCAATAAAACCGTGGGTGCTGGTTGGCCAGCTTTGGAGATGAGCTTGAACCCACTAACAAATGTTGTGCCTTGTTATTAGTGTTATTATCGTTTATGATATTTTAGACCCTATTTGACATGAGCTTTAGTTTCTTGCTATGAGCCGAAGCCAATAAAGCCAAAAATAGTAGCTTCACTGTTTCTTATAGTTTATTTAAGAGAAGAGAGAAAAATAGCTTCTCGAAGGAGCCAGAGCTGGAGCCTTACCAAACGGTGGCACGATGTTTGCTTCTGCTTTCTTGTTCGTTATATAGCAGATATTTCTTCTGGCCTTCTGGATGGAATGGCCACTAATGGGTGGAATCGCCACAATATTGGGATTCTTCTTAGCCAACATTATTGCAGTTACAGCAGGATTCTTAGTGGCCAGGACCCGGCACTAGGAGGATTTGGGCTAGTTGATCTACTATTGAGTCACGAAGCTGGTGGCGGCGGAGTTTGGTAACAAGGTCGTCAGTTCGTCAATTGTCACTGACAACAGAACTTCAAGTGGAGGAGGAGGACTGCTACGGCATCTTCTGCAACATTGGTTCATCTAGAGATACAGCTAGCCCGGTTGAAAAGAGCGATGGCGGCGCGCGAGCTCTGGTGCCTATGGGCGACGCTCGCCGCCGTCTCGCTCCTCCTCTACTACCTGATGACCAACCAACACCGCCGCTGGGGCTCGCGCTCCGGACTGCGGCGCCCGCCGGGGCCCAGGCCTCTCCCGCTCATCGGCAACCTCTTGGACCTGCGTGAGGGCAACCTCCACCAGTACACGCTCGCGCGCCTGGCCCACGCGCACGGCGCCCCCGTCATGCGCCTCGACCTGGGCCTCGTCCCGGCCGTGGTCATCTCCTCCCGGGACGCCGCCAGGGAGGCCTTCACGGCTCACGACCGGCGCGCGTCGTCCCGGACGGCAAACGCGCCCTTGACTTCTGCAACCGGTCCATGATCTGGTCCCGAGCTCGGACCCGCTCTGGCGGACCCTGCGCGGCTTCGTCGCCTCGCACGTCTTCTCGCCGCGCAGCCTCGCGGCGACGCGCGCCGTCCGGGAGCGCAAGGTGCGGGACCTGGTGGCGTACCTCTGCGGACGCGCGGGGATGGAGGTGGACGTCAAGGAGGCGGTGTACGGCGGCGTCATCAACCTCGTGTCGAGTTCGCTCTTCTCCATCGACGTCGTCAACGTGGGCGCCGAGTCGGCCCATGGGTTGCAGGAGCTCGTCGACAGTGACCGATTTGGTGGAGTCTTTCGATTCAGCCTTGGATCTTCCTCCAAGATGGGGAGCAGGGAAGCGTCGCTGAGCCGGCAAGCCTGCACCATGTTGATTGTTGGCGCAAGTTGATTGGCCTTAGGCAGATCAGACTCGATGAGCGGATGAATGTGTTAGGATCGATGTGTACCTTTCTGTGACCGTAGGATCGGGTAAGCATCCTCGTCTTCTCCGTGGATGCACCTCAGCGGGTAGACGCCGATGCCATCGGTGTAGTAGGCGTCCATCACCGTGGAGACGATCACCAGTGGCCCGGTGTAGACCCAGTGGCGCTGTGGTGAACCGTAGTGGTACGGTAGTGATCCTGCAGGGGCGACGGCGGAGTCGGTGGGCTCATCCCGTCACTGGCAGCACGGCCTTTAGATCGGATTAGGGTTTTCTTTTGGTGGGTGTGGCGGCTCCGGTCAACCTCGTTCAATGAGCTCTGATCCCCACCTTCTCTATTTGTATGTGCTGTGCGACAGGGGCCCACCAACCAGTTAGGGTTGGACGCCCCCGATTAGGGCGCAGAGGCAAGGGCCCAATAGACCGTTGGGCCTATTGGTGGAGATCAACTAACATTCTCCCCCTTGATCTCATTCCATCTTTCAATTTCATATCATTTACTTTTGTTCATTCCATTACAGATTAGTGCATAGAGCATGTCTCGTCGTCACGATCCATTGCCGATAGACTTAACAGCTACAACACAGCTACTATGTTCTGAAATAGATACTTATCTTTAGGCCTTCTTTTGTTCAGGAATTTTAGGCTTTTCCTTAAACCCATGCTAGCTACATGTTCTCTGAACACCATGTTCTCTGAACATGTTGGGTGGTAAGCCTTTTGTAAGTGGATCCGCGAGCATCCTTTCTGTTCTTATATGCTCAAGACTTATGACTTGATCCCGGACTTTATCTTTCACAACATAATACTCTATGTCAATGTGTTTGGCAGCACCACTTGACTTATGTTGTGAGCATCCTTTACTGCCAGATTATAATCGCAGTATAACTTTAGTGGTCTATAGATGTCGTCAACTACCTTCAAACCGGGTATGAACTTCTTTAGCCAGTTCACCTGCCCGTTGCCTCATAACACGTTACAAACTGTCATACATTGTGGACGATGTATTGACGGTTCGCATTGAGCTTTTCCATGAAATAGCTTCCCTTTGCGAGATGATACAAAATCTACGTCTGGATATGCATTCACTCTCGCATAATCAGAATATGAATATCCCACCATGTGGAGTGAATCAGATCTTCTATATGTTATCATGAGGCCTTTCGTTTCTTGCAAATAATGCAAGACTTTCTTTACTAATTTCAGTGTTCTATTCTAGAATTGCTCTGGAATCTGCCAAGTAAAACCCGGTAACAAATGCCAAGTCAGGGCGCGTACATACTTGAGCATGTTGCAAGCTTCCGACAGCTGAAGCATATGGAACCACTTTCACTTTATCGATTGAGCTCATATTGGTTCCTGGGGCATTGAAAATCCCCATATCTGTCGTCTTTGACTATAGGAGCAGGTGAGGGACTATATTTGTGCATACTGAATTTCTTTAAGATCTTTTCCATGGATGTCTTTTGTGACAGTCCTTATACCCTTTTTCTTCTATCTCGGTGAATCTCGATCTCTAGAACGAACGAGGCTTCGTCAAGATCTTTCATATCAAATTTCTTTGTCTCCAGTAGTAGACTGACATCACTACTAGCAAGTAAGATATCATCTACATACAGGACAAGGAAGATAAACTTCTCATTCTTAAACTTTGTATTGACACAATTGTCCTCTACATTCTCTTTACTTTGTATAGACACAATTATCCTCTACATTCTCTTTAAAACCTAAAATTCTTTATTGTCTGATCAAACTTCAAGTACCACTGTCTTGAAGCTTGTTTTAATCCATAAATGGATTTCTTTAGGCGGCATCACATTCGTTCTTTTCCTTCCATGACAAAACCTTTTGGTTTTTCCATGTAAACATTTCCTCCAAGTCTCCGTTGAGAAATGCCGTCTTTACATCCATCTGATGTAATTCTCAATCGTAATATGCCACTAATGCCATTATGATTCTGAAGGAAACTTTACATGAGACTGGAGAAAAGGTCTCATTGTAATCAATCCCTTCTCTTTGCATATAGCCTTTTGCCACAAGTCATGCTTTATATTTCTCTATATTCCCTTGAGAGCCAAGTTTTGTTCTATACATCCATTTACAGCCTACTGTTTTGGCTCCTTTAGAAATTATTTTCAAGTCCCAAACTTTATTGGCATTCATTGATTTCATTTCATCTTCCATGGCCTCAAGCCACTTTGATGAATGATCACTTCTCATGGCTTCTTCAAATAAGGTAGGATCATCCTCCATTTGAAATTCCTCAGTGTTGTACACTTCATAATCAGCAGGAATAGCTAATTTTCTAACTCTTTGAGACCTTCTAGGGGCCTCCACTTTTGGCACATCTTCTGTTTGAGGCTGTTGTTGCTCCCCCTCATGTGTGGCAATAGGTTCTATAGAATCCTGAAGAACAGGTTCCTCATCGTTATTCATTGTTGCCACAGGTGAGATAACAACAGGTGCTGGCACCACAGTATCTAGCACTATCGGTGCAGCTATAGTAGGTAGTGAGAAAATTGGCTCATGAATCATTGGAGTGGGCGCTTACACCCGCTTCACTTCAAGGTCAATTTCTTGAGCTACCATGCTCCCCCTCATCAATTCGTCCTCTAGGAAGACAGCGTGTTTCGTTTCCACAAACTTTGTATGTCTCTCTGGATAGTAGAAAACGAAAACCTTTTGACTTTTCTGGGTAGTTAAACAAATGGCAACTTACTGTTTTGGGATATAACTTTCCAATGTTTGGGTTAAACACTTTAGCCTCAGCAGGGCTCCCCACATTCACGGAAGTGGTTTAGCGAGGGTACTCTTTCTGTCCACAACTCATACGGTGTTTTGAGCACCGACTTTCTTGATACTCTATTGAGAATATGAGTGGCAGTTTTAACGCCTCCATTCACAGGCTCAACTGTAAGGTGGAGTAACTTATCATACTGCCCACCATATCCATCAGGGTACGATTGATTCTTTTAGCTACTTTATTCTGCTGAGGTTCACCCGGTGTAGAATACTGAGCTACTATGCCATTCTTTTAGGGTATGCCGACCGTAGTACTCCCCTACGGTCAGACCTGACTATCTTCATCTTTAATATCTTAAATTTATCCAATGCTTCTGTTCTTTCTTTGATTGGATAAATTTAGCCATAATGGGAGTAATCATTTGTGAATGTTATGAACGAATCATAACCATCCACACTCTTTATAGGAAAGCTGACCACAGATGTCTGTGTGAATAATCTGTAGAATTCCGGTGTTTCGTTTGTCATCATTCTTAATTCTTCTTTACATAATTTCCTTTTATGCATTCCTTGCATTGTTCTTAATCTAAGAGCTCTAATGGAAGAAGAATATGAATATCATTCTTAACTTGTCTTTCTATTCCCCCCCTCGAAATATGGCCTGAACGATAGTGCCATAATTTCGACAGCGCATCGTGAGCTCTCTTATGCCACCTTTTCCAGATTAACACTCTGTGACCAGCTGCTTTATCAGCTAAGTGGCATATGTCTTTGAAGAGCCAGTGAACTAACTCTTTATTCTATCGAGGTATTCGGTGACCGTGTCACATTCTGGGATTGAGCCCACAATTGCAGGTTCAATCATGTTCTTTATCACCGCCAAATATTTCTTGTTTGCAGTGACCCACTTCCAATGCTCAAAAGCCATAGGATATCTTTTGGGATTCAAAATCCCTTTCTTTAGTTGCCCAAGTGGCATCATTCTCTTTTGTCTCCCTCACCGGTGCCACAATCTCAGTGGAACACGGTGAGGTGACTACCCAGTCCACCTTAGACAAGATGAAAACCAGGTCAAAACTTTTCTTAACATAAAAATAACACCATTTGCATGCCTTGATTCCAACGTTGGTCAAAATCAAAACATACAATTATTCTTATACACTAATTCTACATCACCGTTGAGTAGAAATAGAATTAATGCATAAATCTTTAACTTTCACAACTGTTCTTACACACTAATTCTACATCACCGTTGGGCAGAAGTAGAATTAATGCATAAATCATTAAAATTAACATCTGTTCTTATACACTAATTCTACATCACCATTGGGCAGAAGTAGAATTAATGCATAAATCATTAACATTATGATATTGTTATTAACAACGTTGATAAAAAAACGATAACATCATAATCATATCTAAACTCTTTTTCTCCAATTAAATACCACATTGATTCAAAATAACTGGAGAATCAACATTTTCTTTAGCAGCGGAAAAAATCTCTTTTTCTCCAATTAAATGCCACGTTGGTACAAATTAACTAGAGAATAAACAATTTCTCTAGCTATGGAAAAACTTCTCATTTTCTTGAATTTTACCCACAGGGAAAATTATATTTTCTATTTCCTTTAATCCATTAATCAATTTCCAGGAAATAAACATTTACTGGAAAAACTTTTCTTTTCTCCAGTTAAATATCATGTTGGTTCAAAATCACTGGAGAATATACTTTTTCTTTAGCAGCGAAAAACGTATGCTCAATTTCTTGAATTTTACCCACAGGGGAAAATTACTTTTTCTATTTTTCTTTTGAGCCAATTTGCATTTTCAATTTTCCAGGAAAAAGAAAAATGTGAAACGGGCTCATTCTTTACTCTCGGCGGCCCAAAACGGCAAAAAGTCACTTCGGCCCACTCACATGCAGCGAGACCGCATGTAAAAAGTCTTGTTGCCATGCCCCCGCTTTGGCTGCGAGTCGGCCCGATCATTTGTAGCCGTTTGATCTGATCGACGGCTCGCCCGCGCGTTTCGGGAGGTCAAAAACCCGCCGCGGCTGTGAGTCCCGAAAACCCTAGGTCATTTGATCCTCTACTCTCTCTCTCTCTCTTCGCTCTCTCTCTTTCTTTCTCTCGCGTCGTTCTTTCTCAGCGCAAGGACAACAGCCACTGAGAGCGAGACGGCGAGCGAGCGGACGGTGGAGAGA